GGCCCAACTTGGGAGGCGCCGGCCCCCAAGAAGTCTTCAAGACCGCCCCGTCAAGAATGGGAGCGAGGGTCCCTGGTGATGATGGCGATGACGGTGATGGTGATTTTTTTTTTAGCCCCCAGTTCTCGCTGGCTTTGTTTGGTTACCTGTCGGCAAGGTGGTCCGCATCCAGGTGCGGAGCAGTGCTGAGGGCTGAGGGCCCTCGCGATGACGGTGATGGTGATGATGGTGGTGATGATGATGAGGACGACGATGCTGATGCTGACGACGGTGAGCTGGGCTGCCGGCGGAGCGACGAACTCCTCCTTACCTCGACGCAGCAGGCGCTCTCGAGGGCGTTCTCGACGGGGCGCACGAGAGCGTGGATCAGAAATCTTCACCATGGGTATCGACGTGCTGGGGCCAGAATGCGATGGCGAGGCCAATCCGTCGGAACTCTCTGCAAGAACATCAGCGGTTCGATCCCAATTGCTCGAGGAGTTGCTCGGGCCAATCCTCCTGCTGCTTCTGGAACATGCAGACCGCGTCGCCCTCGTACTCGGCGTGTTTCGGCGCGTCGGAAGGCTCGCGCAGGCCGGGCACATCACCGAGGACTGCGGCCCAAGGCGCAGCGAGCACGGCCAGCGCGAGCAGCCGCAGGGCGCCGCCCTCTCCGACGAAGCGGCGACTCGCGAGCCCGAGGCCCAGCTCGCCTCCGAATTTGAGGCATGGCGCGCGCCCAGCCTGCATCCTCGGCGGGCTCCACGCCGAGCAAATGCATCTTCATCTCCTTCCCCTCGAAGTGCAAACCACGCGCTGGCATGCCAGTCGGACACGCCAGGTACTTCATCTTCATGTCGGCCCGCCTGTTGTTGGAGAGGCGGATGGTGCTGAAGGTGCGTTTGGACTTCGCGGGCCACCTTTGGAAGAACGCCTGCGGGTTCAAAACATCTGCGGCATGCGCGGGCAGTTGTGGTTGGTCGACACCAGATAAGCACCCGCGGGCAATGGAATCGAAAGCCCGGGCAAGGCCGAGACAAAGCACCGGCCGCGACGCGCGCGTGGAGAGCTTTCCCTCGAATACCGTTTGCCGCAATCAAGAGAGCGGCATCCCGCAGTGCCGCAGAGCCGCACCGTACAGGCCCAAGTGCCTGATGCCCGGAGTGCACTTCGAGAAGGTCCTGGGCTTCTTTGGAACTCTCGGCATCGCTCGGACGTCCATTTGCCGTGTATTTTTCGGTGTCGTGCGTGTGTGGTTTTGCTCGATGGTTCAGGATGGTCCTCGATGGTCCCCGCCGAGAAAAAATGCACACGTCTGAGCGGTGCCAGGAACTCGCGACGCCGGCGCGGGGCTGTGCTTGCGCTGAACGTCCTGGGCGCGCCCGCTCCTCTGAGCGCGGTAGGCGTCGGGGCCATGAGCGACGTTGTTACGGGGCGCGAAAACGACCTCAGCCACTGCTTTTCTTTTGTTGCCGCCTTCCAGCCAGCAGAAACAGAGCAGTGATTGTGGTCATTTTCGTTGCGCTTGGCACCAGGGAAATGACCACAACCACTGTTTTTTTTTCGGCCGGCTAGAAGGCGGCGCAAACAAGAAGCAATGGCTGTGGTCATTTTCCCGTCCCGCAGGTGTATTGGATCTCGTCCGCGAGGGCGCACGCGCCCACTTCGAAAGCCCGGCGTACTTTGGGGACGTGCAGCTTCTCCGATGACACCTGGGGCCGAGCCTGACCTGGTCGCCGCGCTTCTCGCGGTCTTGGATCCCGAACCAGTTGGGCCCGCGGCGCCGCTCAGCTCGGCGGCGTCCTCGGGGTCGTGCGCAAGACGGCACTCGAGGGCAAACAGGTAGTTGGGATTGACGCCAGCCGCCTGGTCGTCGTTGCCATCGGCGAAGACGACCAGGGCGCGCTTGTGCAGCGAGGCGGCCAACTTTTTTCTACGGGGACGCCCAGGAACGCTTCTCTTCCTTGGGCGCCGATTCCCGATGCCAGAGGGACGCGCGCCGAGATGGCCGTCAATCTTAGCCCTGCTGCAGAAAACGCTGCACGTAGCAGACGGAGGCCGACTCCACTCATACCCGCCGTGCTGGCCAAGATCTTGAAGTCCTTACGGAGCCAGTTCTGCACTCCCCCCAAACCGTCGTCCGTTGTGGTGGTGGGGGGGGGGGGGGGGCGGCGAAGGCGCAGTAATGGTCCAGATCTTGAGGCGCGGACTCAGGAAGAAGAGACTCCTGGATGCCTGCCAATGGAGGTAGTGCTTGCTGCAAAGTCCTCAACGGAGTGCGTGCGAGCGGTGCGCGGCGCAGCTGTCTGCGCTCCCTCGGATCCAAGGTCTGGACCTTGAAGGTGGCAAGAATGAGCTGCGGTCCGCCGCAAGCAATGCTGGCGCAGTGCCGCAGCCATCTCGAAGGGGCATTGTTATGAACTGGAAGATACTGTTGATGAAAGACAGGAATGCAGCGGTAGCGGTTCGCTTCCAGGGCGAAGTCCACCCGTCGTTCTTCGCAGCCACCTCGGCAACGGAAAACCTGCGGGGGGCCGACGCTGATCGCTGCGCTGCTGACGCTGGTGACGCTTCGGTATATTGCGAGAACCCCTCTTCGGGGCCCTGGCTCCTCGGGCGGACAGGGCCCCGCCTTTGCGGGCTCCGCGACCCCGCAGGAGAGGTTGAAATAAGTGGCGACGGTATGCTTCTTCATCTCTTCTTCTTCTTCTCTTCTCCTCCTTCTTCTTCTTATTCTTCTTCTTATCATCCGTCTGCTTTTGCCCCCGATGGCGCAGGGCTCGCACGCCCGCGCGGCGGCGGGCGAGCGGGATCCCCGGGGCACTCGCGCCCGCCCCCGGCACCGGAGGGCCCTCCGTCGAGCGGCGCCGCGGCACGTCCGCGCCGCCCCCCCCCCCCGGGCAGCGCGCTGGCCAAGGAACGCCTCAAAACGCTGGAGAAGGTCCCGGCTGCGGGCCTCGGCGCCGGCGACGGCGTCGGGATGCGCGCCATCATCTCTGGGCAGCTGCTGACGAGCCGCCCCCAACTGCCATTTGAATGCGGCGAGGCCCTCCTCTGGAACGGGCGCCTCGGAGATGGCCTGCTGGAGGTCGGCGAGCTCCTGCGCCAGGAGGAGCTCCTCCTCGTCGGCGGCCTGGACGGCGGTTTCCGCGAGGCGCAGGGCCTCTCGGGCTTGCTGGGAGCGGCTCTTGGCCCTCTCGAGCACGTCCTTGCAGCGGTCCCTGCGCTGGCCCAGGGGACTGTCCGAGATGATCGCCTGCTTGTGGGTGGCGATCTCCCGGTTCATCGACCCCCTCAGAACCACATGCTCGGTGCCGTGGAGGGTGGCCAACGCAGCTTCCAACTGCTCGATGGCGGTCTGGCGCTGGCTCCTGGTCCTGTCGGGGGCCTCGTTCAAGGAGCCCTGGACCGATGGAGACGAGAGGACCTCCGTCTCGCCCTGCGGGAAGGCCTACTTGAGCAGCGAAGCGACCTCCGCAAGCTGCGCCGCCACCCCATCTGCCCGAGGGCTTGGCGGCGGCGCCCCCGTGGAAGCCGATATTTGGTTGTGGGCGCCATGGCAATGAACGCCCTGACAGCCCGATCATTGAATCAAGCATGCGTTGTTTGAAACATGGTGTAACAATGTTAAAAAAACATGTCGTTTGATTCGCATGTTCAAAACATATGCGCACATATGTTTTAGGCAGCTGGAAAGTATTTCGCAACGCGCCTGTTCTCCATTGATCATCGCCCACAAAAATAAGGACGAACGACTTCTTCGCGCCGCGCACAGAATACTCGGTTTGGGGGCGCCAGCTGGTGGAGCGGCAGACCTTGCATTGCCGCGCGCGAGACGATTGCTGCGAGTACCAGTGGGGCACGCGACCGTTTTCTCACTCGGCGTTTCGACATTAGGCGGAGGAAAGGGGGGGGGGATCTGGCTCAGGACCTCTGCTAACTGCGACTGTTTGCAACGGCAAGCCCTATGGGAAGGCCCCACCTGCTCGAAACAGGCGCCACCAGCAGCCAAGACCTACTCCGTGGGGGGGGGGGGTCCGAAGGCCCGCGCCGATCGGCACGGGCGATCCAAGATTTCTGCGTCCGACCCTCCGGATCCACATAATTGCCGCGTGACGTCATCCGGGCCTGGGAGGAGCTGCCCGCGGAGGCAGGGCTGCAGATCGAATGCAGCGCGGATCATGGACGCGACGAGTTGCGCGCCAACAGGAAGAGGCAGGCTCGCAGGCGAACGCGGCTTAGACCAGCAAAACGGCTTGAGCCAAAATAGCTTGAGCCAACATAAATACGGGGATGATTGGGATTCTGAAAATGATATATGTTGAACACGATGGAAAAAAGGTTACTGAGATTAACAGTGGTCAACATGTTGATGAGAATGGCGATGCTGATGCTGCTCATTGGTAATATGATGATAATGGTGACGATGCTACTGGTGGTGATGATGATGTTTATGATGATGGCGCGGATAAGATGATGACGATGCTAGGGCGATTGCTGCTGATGATAACGATGGTGGTAATTGCGATGATTATTGTGACGGGGATGATGGTGATGATGGTGGTGATGATGATGGTGATGATGTTGATGATGATGACGGTGCTGAGGACTATGATAATGCGGATGATGACGGTGACTATGACGATGATGATAATGATGATGGTGGTGGAGATGGTGATGATGATGGTGGTGCTGGTGATGGTGATTACGATGATGGTGGCGACGATGAGCCCGCCCCCTCCCCGAGCGCGGCCAAGCGACACTATGCTGTTCTCGCGCATCCAAGTCGTATCCCTCGGACGGCGCAGCGGTTGTCTTCGTAATCAGCGGAACCGATCGCCCCCCTTCGAATGCGCAGCCTTGGCGATGTCCCCGCCAAGCAGGGAGGGGGAGGGAGGGGCTTGAGCGAATTCGGACGTGAACAAAAAAGGGCACGGAAGGACAGACGGGACACGACATTCAAGACCACGCTCAGCCCGCCCCTTCCCCGAGCGCGGCCAGACAAATCTCTGTTCTTTTACATCCAGATCGCATCCATCGGACGGCGCAGCGGTTGACTTCGCAAACAGCGGAAGCGATCGCCCCACGAAGCGCCCGAATTGGCCTCTGGCCCATGTCAACACAGAAGGCGGGATACATTGGCGATTCTTTTCGGCGGCACCCTTGCCGCGAACGCTGAGACGCGAAGCCGGCGAACTACCAAGAAAGACAACTGGCGACTTACTGGGAGCAGGGGCACGGCGAGGGCGACAGCGTAAAAATCACTACCAACGAGAGGCCCGCCCGAGGCCGACGCAATTTCGACCGCCCCGTGGCGGCCCGAAGCAAAAAAAATGCACTGAGCCACCCTGGGCGCCCAGACGCCGCGGGCGCGGCTCCAAACATCTAGATGCGCCCAAACAGAACTTCGTACATAGTTGCTCCTTGCAGGGACTGGTTGCAATCGCTGGGCATCTAGCGGAGCAGGCAGCATTGGCAAGTTTCAGAAGGTTAGCAATGCACGGGCTGCGCCCCCAGTGTGGTCAGAGCTTAAGTCAGAGCTCAAGTCGGGAAGCGTCGCAGCAATGCCGCGAACGACACAAGAACCGATCCACCACAGGAGCACGCTGCGAGAAACGGCGAGGTCACACATGGAGGCATTCACCCAAATCGCACTGTGCTCACTGGACTCACTGAGGCGTCTACTCCCTTCACCTTTCGAGAATCCGACCTCGACGAACACCTGGCTCTTTTTTTCTCGCAACCGAATCGGAGCCCTTGGCGCGGCTGTCGCGCAAGGCCCCCGGCACACTGAGCGGCAAGAAGGCGTGGGCCTCCAGGATGTTGCCGCCCTGCAGCAGGCCTCCCAGCCGCGCGTGGATCACCTCGCCCCAGTCCGCCGCAGCGCGTGGCATCGCGTTCAGCAACGACAGGTGGTAAACGTGCTTGGCGTGGCGCAAGCTGCCGCGCGGGCCGGCGCGCCTCAGCCGCTCGGTCACGGCGGTGATCAGGCGCACCTGGTAGGCAGCCGCCGTGGGCGAGCGCTGCCGACCGCTCCTCGAAACGCTCGGTGAACCACGGGCCGTCGAACGACCGGAGCTGGCAGCCAGGGCCCCGAGTCCCCCGCAGGCGCCGCAGCGCCGCGCCGCCGCCGCCGCTCCAGCAGGCCCCCCGCGGATCACCCCCTCGTCGGCGCCCATGACCTTGCTCCTCGCCTCCTCGTCGCTGGGGCGCAGGACAAGGCCCCAGTTGGCATCGCGCCCGTGCCAGGCCCGACCATGGCCTTGGGCGCCATGCTCACCAGGTCCGACGGCAGGCGCAGCGTGCCATCCCAGGCCAGCCACAGCGCCGTCGCGAAGTCCAGTTCCTTCAGCAGCAGGGAGATCCCGACCACGGCCAGCGCCCACGGGCGGCACAAAGGTTCGCGAGACCCTCCGCGCGCCCGTCGGCGAAACCCCGCCAGCGCCGCGCGCGCCACAAAGGAGTTGCCGTGGCGGGCCGTCCCCAGGCTGGGCCGCATGCACTGGAAGGACTCCAGCAGCCTCGAGCCCTTGCTGACCTCCATCCCGTCGAAGAACAGCACGTCCATGCACTTAGCGGCTAGCTGGTCGAGGCGCCGAGTGGAAATTTCCCCCAGGGCCCCCAGGCGCGCGACGAGGAGGCCCCCGCCACAAGAGCTGATCGGCGAGGAGGAGGCGCGCTCCTCCTCCTCCTCCTCCTCCTCCTCCTCCTCCTCCTCCTCCTCCTCTTCCTCCTCCTCCTCCTCCTCCTCCTCCTCCTCCTCCTCCTCCTCCTCCTCCTCCTCCTGCTCCTCCACCTCGTTGCAGCCCCGCCCAGATCTGAGGGTCTGGGCACAGCCCCCGCAGCCCGGAGCGGGGCGGGCGGGCTAGGACGCCTTGACGACAGCGACGGAACTCGCTTCGCTGTACTCCGCCTCCGTCATGCGCGCGATGACCTCGGACGCAGGGGGAGCAGGGAGAAGAAGGAGGAGGAGGAGGAGGAGGAGGGGGAGGAGGAGGAGGAGGAGGAGGAGGAGGAGGAGGAGGGGGAGGAGGGGTGGTTGCCGTGGACGGGTGCGCACGCAAGCATGGATGTGGTGCGCGTTCCTCGTGGCCGCCGAGGCTCGAACTCTGAAGTCGCTCACAACATTTTGCAGAGCCGGGCAGAATTGAAAATGTGCAACCACAGCTTGAGAGTTCGTGGGGCTCCTCCTCCGCCATGCGCGCGATGATGGAGGCCGCCGAAATGGGGTCGAAGTAGACGGGGCCACAGGATCGCATAGACTACCATAAATGACGATACATGAGGAACGAAGCCCCTGCAGGGACCCAGAAGCACCTGGGTGCACGAGGAGCGCTAGAGGCACAGGTATGGAAGGACCTACGGAACAACGAGCCGATGCGGAACGCGAGCTGTTCCTTGTTCCGGCGCCTTGACTGCACTCGGTCGGGGGGGATTAAAAAATCAGCCTGGCGAAGGGCCCAACCAGACGCAATTGTGAGTACCGCCGTCGTGGGTATCGTCCTCGGTAGCGTCTTCGATGAGCCACCGAATGCGAGACTGGGCGGGGGGGACGCATGCGAACTTTGCCACTGGGGCCTTCGATGGAGTTCCCTATGGGCCACGAAAGGCTGTACTGGGTGGGGGAGACGCATGTGGACACCGCCACTTTGCCCTTCGGGGGAGCCACATACGGGGCCACGAAACACTGTGCTGGGTGGGGGAAGACGCATGTGGACACCGCCACTGGGGCCTTCGGCGGAGCTCCCTATGGGGCCACGAAATGCTGTACTGGCTGGGGAGACGCACGTGGACACAGCCACTGGGGCCTTCGGTGGCATTCCCCATGGGGCCACGAAGCGCCGTGCTGGATGCGGGGACGCAGCTGGACACCGCCACTTGGGCCTCAGGTGGAGCTCACCATGGGGCCAAGAAACGCCGTGCTGGGTGCGAGAGGCGCATGTGGACACCGCCACTGGGGCCTTAGGCGGAGCTCCCTTTGGGGCGACGAAGCGCCGTGCTGGGTGGGGGAGACGCATGTGGACACCGCCACTGGGGCCTTAGGTGGAACTTCCTTTGGGGCCACGACGCGCCGTGCTGGGTGGGGGAGACGCACGTGGACACCGCCACTGGGGCCTTAGGTGGAGCTCCCCATGGGGCCATGAAACGAAACGCTGTGCTGGGTGTGGGACACGCATGTGGACACCGCCACTGGGGCCTTAGGTGGAACTCCCTACGGGGCCACGACGCGCCGTGCTGGGTGGGGGAGACGCATATGGACATGGCCACTGGGGCCTTCGGTAGAGCTCCCCGGGTGAGGGAAACGCATGTGGACACCGCCACTGGGGCCTTCGGTGGAGCTCCCAAGGGGGCCACGAAACGCTGTCCTGGCTGGGGAGACGCACGTGGACACCGCCACTGGGGCTTCGGTGGAGCCACATTCGGGACCACGAAACACTGTGCTGGGTGGGGGAAACGCATGTGGACACCGCCACTGGGGCATTCAGTGGAACTCCAAGTAAGGCGACGAAACGCCGTGCTGGGTGGGGGAAACGCATGTGGACCGGCCACTGGGGGGTGGAGCTCCTTCTGGGGCCATGAAACGCCGTGCTGGGTGGGGGAGACGCATGTGGACACCGCCACTGGTAGGTGGAGCTCCTTCTGAGGCCACGAAACGCTGTGCTGGGTGGGGGAGACGGATGTGGACACTGCCACTGGGGCCTTAGGTGGAGCTCCCTGTGGGGCGACGAAGCACCGTGTTGGGTTGGGGAGACGCATGTGGACACCGCCACTCGGGCATTAGGTGGAGCTCCATATGGGGCCACGAAGCGCCGTGCTGGGTGTGGGAGACGCACGTGGACACCGCCACTGGGGCCTTAGATGGAGCTCCCCATGGGGCCACGAAGCGCCGTGCTGGGTGGGGGAGACGCATGTGGGCACCGCCACTGGGACCTTCGGTAGAGCTCCCAAGGGGGCCACGAAACGCTGTCCTGGGTGCGGGGACGCATGTGGGCACCGCCACTGGGGCCTTTGGTGGAGCTCCCTATGAGGCCACGAAGCGCTGGTCTGGATGGGAGGAGGGAGGAGGGGGAGGAGGAAAGAAGGAAGGAAGGAAGGAAGGAAGGAAGGAAGGAAGGAAGGAAGGAAGGAAGGAAGAAAGGAAGGAAGGAAGGAACGCGGGGCGCTGTCTCTTCAAACGAGGACCCAACACCACAGGATGGTTTGGAAATATCTCAACGCGTGGAGGAGAAGGAGGAGGAGGAGGAGGAGGAGGAGGAGAGGAGCCGAGTGAACAACCGTTTGGACGTGGCGCGCGAAGGGCAAAGGTCAGCATCCCTTGCAGACGCGTCACGTCATCCTTGCGTTAGCTGTTCACTACCCAAGCGTCAGCGGACCTTGCCGATCTTCGTCTGCTCCGCGGGGCCCAGGGTCCACGAGATGCCCGCCTTGGTGGCCAGGATGTAAGCGCTCGTGTTCTCCTGCATCTGCTTCGCCCACTCTGGGGTGGTCGTGAGGCCCTCCTCGGGCTGTGGCGGGCTGAGGGCGGCTGGCAGCTGTCTTGGGGGGGGGGGGGGCAACGCGGGGGTAAGCAAGAGACCTTGCAGACAAATCAGCGCCCAAAAAGGGGAAAATCGGCGGTGGACAAACCTCCCTTCAGTGAAAACGGCCTGGGACAGAAACCGACGGACCTGGACCTGCAAAAATGACGGCCGTGACGCCCTCTCGCGAACCGAAAACCAATTCGCTAATCGACGTGTCAGGGTAGGAGGTCTGTCCACCCCCGAGAAAACGAGGTAAGGGTAGGGGCATCGGTACCCTTTCCTCCTCCGAGGAGAGGGGGGGGGCCCTGGTGGCGACGGGCGGGCGGCCCCGCGCGAACAGGTCCCACCCCCGCCGCCCTCCAGAGGCAGGCCTCTGCAGGCCCTCCCCAGGGAAGGCCCGGCAGGCTCCCCCGGGAGGCTCCCACGGACGCTCCTGCCCGGGGAGGCCCCCCCTGGCGGTCGATGCGTCCCCACCTGGCCCCTCCCCCCCTCCTCCTTCCCCTCTTCCTCCTCCTCCTCCTCCTGAGGTCCTCCTCCTCCTCCTCCTCCTCCTCCTCCTCCTCCTCCTCCTCCTCTCCTCTCCTCTCCTCCTCCCCCTCCTCTCTCCTCCTCCTCTCCTCCCCCTCCTCCTCCTCCCCTCCTCCTCCTCTCTCCTCCTCCTCCCCTCTCCTCCTCCTCCTCATCCTCCAAGGAGCCCCCCACGGACGCTCTTGAGAGCCTTCCTCTGCCGGGGGCGACGACGGGGGCGAGTGGCCCCGGGCAGGGCGATGCACGCATCCTGCAGGGGCGCAGAGGCTCCCCAGCCGATGCGTGCAAAGCCCGCCCCGGGGCCAGCCGCCCCTCCCGGCGCCTCCGACGCAGAGGCCTTGGGCCAGGCCATGGCGCCCGCCATAGTGGACCTGTTTTCCACCACCACCACCACCACCATAAGAGGGAGGGGGGAGGAGGTGGAAGACGAGGACGAGGACCAAAAGGAGGAGGAGGAGGAGGAGGAGGAGGAGGAGGAGGAGGAGGAAGAAAAGGAGAAGAACCCCCTCCCCTTCCAATTGTGGTGGTGGTGGAAAACAGGCCCATGGGGGCGCTCTCCGAGCCCTGGGGGGACGTCAAGAAACAGCTCGGGGTGCAAAGCGACCCCGGGGAACCGGCCCCGACCTCCAGGGATCCAGGCTGCGAACAAAACGCGACGTCGGAGTTCGGGTGGGCTAACAGGGCCACGTCCTCACGAGGAAGCCTGCTGGCCTCTGGGTGCAGCGCTCGGTTCCGGCTCTGCTTCATAAGGTGTTGGGGGGTCTGCCTGCCTTTCGCCCCCACATCAGTGCAACCCCCCAGCGTCACACACCACATCTAGGGGCCCCAAACTTGTGAACAGGCTCAAACCAGCCGCGGTGGGGAAAACCCCCGAAAATTAGCTCCAGACTGGATGGGTGTGGCGGCATTTCGGCCTTCAAAGGTCCAAGCTGTTTTTTGCGATTCCTCCTCGTCGTCCTCGTCGTCGTCGCCCTCCTCCTTCGTCTGCTCGTCCGTTTCCTCTGTCGTCATAAATTTCTTCCTTCTCGTGCTTCTCGAATCGTCTTCCGAAAGCTATTTCTTCGTCATTCTCTTTCCCCTGTAGAGGATCCATCCAGGGATTCCTTCTGTTTAGGGTGCGACACAATCCGTTGTATGGGCGGTTACACTGGATTCGTCATGCTGGCGGTGGAAACCAAAAAAACACAAGGAAAAGCAACACAAACCAAAGAAATCAAAGACCGAGGGCTGGAAAACCAACAAAAACATAAGGTATAACCCACAACAACTTTAAACATCAAGGATTCCAATACTCAGTGGGAGAGGCGCGGTGGGGGCGAAGCATTGAAAACTTTGTTTTTTTGTGTGCTTGGTGTTTCCTTGCGTTTGTTCTGTTTTCCAGCCGTCGGTCCTTAAATTCTTTGATGTGTGAAGTTCTTCATTGTTTTTTTTCCTTTTGTCGCTTCCCCCATCCCCTTGGGGCACGGACGGCGGGAGGGGAGAAGCAGGAGGCAGCGGGGCGTGGGGGGAGGGGCAGGGGGAAGGGGAGGAGGGGGAACAGGACGACGGCGACTCAGAACAGAAAAGGAACCCAAGAAGGGACCCCGGGCCCTCCCCACGGAACCAGCCACTTCTCGGAGGTCCTCCGTGCGCAAGAGAAAAGGGGGGACAGCGGAAGACGAGGAGGAGGAGTAGGAGGAAGATGGGGAGGAGGAGGGGGAGGAGGGGGAGGAGGAGGATGAGGATGAGGATGAGGATGAGGATGAGGAGGAGGAGGAGGAGGAGGAGGAGGAGGAGGAGGAGGAGGAGGAGGAGGAGGAGGAGGAGGAGAGGGGCCGCGGCCGAGGGACTTCCATGTGTGGATGCCCCTTCTGTGCCGCAGGAACGCTCGGGACGGAAGGCGGCGGCAACGACGCCACGCAGGCCACCAACAGTGGGGGAACCCCAGAAAATGGGTTCCCCGCACCCCGCCCGAGAACAGTGCCGCGCAGTTGCACGTGTTCGGTCGCGCACCTCGGGGTGCTGGAAACCAGCTGCTTGACTCAAAGCGTACGGGCTCTGTGGTGCACACAGGTGCTGCGGTGTGCGTGTGGGGGGCTCTGTGGTGCAAGGAGGCACTGAGTGTGACAGTGGCATTGCGGTGCGCACGGCCGATGCGAGATACGACCATCGTTGTGGCGTGGACGGCTCTAATGTGCACTTGGCTGCTGCCATGTAAGCGGGTGCAAGGGACCGTTCGCGCAGCAGTGTGCGTTATGCGGCATTCCTCAGATCGTTTCTGTTTTGGGTTCAGTATCAGTAACGCGCTTGCGCCCTCTGGTAATTGTAAGGGCAATGGTAATGGCAATTGCAATGGTGGTGGTACTGCTACTGGTAATGGTAATGGTAATGGCGATGGCGCTGGTGATGGTAATGGTCATGGTAATGGTAACGGTTGTGGTAATGGCAATGGCAATGGCAATGGCGATTGCAATGACAATGGCAATGGTAATGGCAATGGTAATGGTGAGGGTGATGGTGATGGCAATGGTAATGGCAATGGTCATGACAATGGCAATGGCAATGGTAATGGCACTGGCAATGGGAAAAACAATGGCAATGGCAATGGCAATGATAATGGTAACGGCAATGGTAATCGCAATGGCAATGGCAATGGTAATGGCAATGATATGCCCATGGCAATGGCAATGCGAATGGCAATGGTCATGGCAATAGTAACGGTAACGGTAGTGGCCATGCAATGGCAAAGGCAATGGCAATGGTAAGGGCCATGGCAATGGCGATGGTAATAGTAATGGTAATGGTAAGGGGAAGGGCAATGGTAATGTCAATGGTCATGGCAATGGCAATGACAATAGTAATGAGAATGGGGATGATCATGGTAATGGCAATGGAAATGGTCATTGTAATGGCAATGGTAATGGCAATGATAATGGTAATTGTAATGGTAATGGTAACAGTAGTGGTAATGATAATGGTAATGGCAATGGCATTGGCAGTGGTAATGATAATGGTAATGGTAATGGCAATGACAAAGTCAATAGCAATGGTAATGGTAATGGTAATGGTAATGGCAATGGCAATGGTAATGGCAATGGCAATGCCAACGGTAGTCGTACTGGCAATGGTAATGGTAATGGCAATGGCAATGGCAATGGCAACGGTAACCTCAGTGGTAATGGTAATGGCAATGGCAATGGCAATAGTAAAGGCAGTGGTAATGACAATGGCAATGGTAATGGTAATGGTAATGGTAATGGCAATGGCAATGGTAATGGTAATGGTAATGGCCATGGTAATGGCAATGGTAACGGAAACGGTAATGGTAATGGCAATGCTAATGGCAATGTCCGTGGGTGATGAGGATAATGAAGAGGTATAAGAGGAGGAAGAGGGAAAGAAGTAGGAGGAGGGGGAGGAGGAGGAGGGGGAGGAGGAGGAAGAGGAGGAGGAACAAGAGGAAGGGAGGAGCACCGAGCACCGCGGAGGGCCGAATGGCCGCCATATCCATCCAGTCTGGCGCGGGAAAATTGTCGGAGGACCGCGGGGAGCTTTCGGAAAACAATGTGGAAGTCAGGTTGAGCACTGCAGTGCTGCCGGAATGGTTCCACCGCACTGCTGCCGCTAGAGTCTGGCGCTTCCGCAGCGCAGCGACGCTCAAAAAGGCCTCCCGCGAGGCCCTGCGGGGTCCAAGACGATGGAAGAACGAACAAGGTACGACGCGCTGTGTTCCATGCGCGATTCGGCTTGAGATCGCCTCTGCGAAGCTTCGTGGTACATCGGAGCATCTCAACAGGTCTCCAAGAAAATCCTACTCGGACCAAGGAGGGTCCGAAGACGGCCCTTTGGTGGTCCGAGAACCCCTGAAGAGGGTCCAAGACCGCACCAAGAGGGCCCCCAAACACTTCAATACCCGCCCAGGCCCACCAAGATGCTCCAACCGAGCTTTTCTTTCGGGATCGCCAAGTAGAACCTTCGCGCCAAAGACAGCGACGGCCGCGACGCCCCCGAAGCCCCCGACAGGCCCTACCGAAAGCCCAGACGAGACCTCCAAGAAGCCCCCGCCATGCCGACAAGGGGAAGGGAGAACTCAGACCCGTGCCAATCAGAAGCTGCGCGTTGCTGGGCTGCCACGGTGGAGGGTTGCGCCACAGACAGCCTGAGGAAACCTAAATCCTCCCTCTGGCCAAATTCCGCTGGAAAGCCTGGCACCTGCCAAGAAATTAACAGAGAAAGGAAGAGGAAGGGGGCATAATATACTAGAACCCAACATCCTAGAACTGCAAGACGCTGATGCTGAAGGCCCTCGTAAGCAAAAAGTAGTTGTGTGAATAGAGCGCGTTGGAAGAAACTGACATGGGCATACCAAACTGATTTCCCAAAATGTGGAAACGCCAATGGGCCCATCGACAACAATACGAAGTACCCCTGCAATGAACCCTAACACTTGGCCACAAAAGTGAGCTCAGTCGCTCACATTCTCAACTGAAGCGTGAAAACTTGCATTGAACCTGCGTCGAGCAATATGCGAATACTGACACCACCACCAGCCCCGAATAATGATGGCTCGCGCGTTGACGCTGGTCTCGCGCCGTGTGCGACGCGGAAGGACTATGCGCTTACCTTGGTGAGTCACTAATTTGCTGCGCGCGCATTATCCCCTCCGCGCGAGTGCCAGCGGCGCGTTCCGGGCTCGTTTCGCGCAGCTGGCACGCGCAAGGGGGGGATGACGCGCGCGCGCACGCGCGCCTCCATATTTTTCTGGGAGTGGACGATTAATTGTGTCTGTGTGTTTCTTTCCCTCCTGAGTGTTGTACGTCTTCCACAACCATTTCGTAGTCATTCGGGTTTTTTGTCGCGGCTCTGCGCCGCGGGCGGAGTTTGCCGTCCGCCACCTTCTTCTCGCCGCTGTCAGTTGTCATTGGTCATCGGCCTGATTTTCTGTCGTCGGTCATTTTTGTCGTCGGTTGCTGTCTCCTCGGCCATCTTTCTGATTAGTTGTTGACTGTTCTTGTTGGCGTCCTTCACGATCGGATTCAGAATTTTACGCTGGCGATTCGACATGTTTGGGGTCCTTCGCGGCCGCATCCATCTTCCATACCGTCCACGTTTCGCGGGTCTCCATCAACCCGTTTGGAAACGATGCCCACGCGTTGGTCGTGGAAGTTCGATTACCGGTCCTCGCCCACCCCCTGGAGAGACCGCGCGCAACCGCTGGGGGGGGCTCAACGCTAAAAGCGTTTGAGACGCGTGACGGGCTCCGCGGCTTCAGTCGTAAAAACAAATGGAGATAATCCGAAAATGTTGGTCGTTCGTCGTTTTGTGATCCCATGGACATGGAGGGTGCGACAGAACAGCAGAAAGACGGCCCGAAGAGCACGACAGTCACGGCCGGGAAGCCCTGGGGAAAAAGGGTGCAGCCGGGGCAAGGGTGAGAGCACGGCCATGGGCACCACGTGCACGTTCGCGCCGCCCGTGCCCAGACCAGCAGCGCAAACGGCATTCAGGCGAGAGCGCGTGCCCGGGCGGTTTCGGGCTCCCCGCCCCCCCGTGCGGGACTCTTCCGTGGGCAGGACCGGTCTTGCGAACTGCAAGTCGGCGGTGGCCCGGGCCCCACTTGGTGGACGCAGGCCGTGCCATGACCCTCGCCCTGGCGAGGCGAGGCGAGGCACTGCTGAGCGCGCCAGGGCGCGGCCCTGCTGAGAGCGCAGAAGGGGGGGCGGTGGCCACTCAGGTCGGCATGAAAAGATACGGTGGGATGACTTCATGTGTCCCAGAACGTCCGAAAAAGCAGTTCGCTTGATGCTCCCAGCGACTCCACAAATATGGGCACCGCAAAAGCGGGTTGCATAAACTCTTCGCTCCGCACTCATGTACCCGTTGTCCTCTTGCGATGTATGTATGTATATATATATATATATACATCTATATATATGTATGTCACGAGGTTGTTGCCTTTCGCTGGATTGCGCCAACCTTGGGACGCACCTGAACCTTCAGCGTTAGTCGTAGACGTAGATATTGACCTGTGCAAGGCGTAACCTTATGTTTCTCGGGCCGCCTCAGATGTGCTGTATGGCTTCGCTAGCAAAACATTGGAGAATGTGAAGCAAATTATTTTTAGTTGTTGGAGGCGATCCGTCAAAACCATGATCATCAGATTCCCATGGTTATGTAGATAAACATACAGAAGGCACATCCTACATCTCAGAATGTTGGACAACACGTTCGGCTGAAACAATGCCAGCATTGATCGGAAACATTGGGCGCGCTACCCAGAGGGTTCTGCAGCAACCAGGCGCGTGTGGCGATTATCTAGTCTCTCCAACATAGTCTGTCTTCCAACGCTTGTGGAGACTGTCAACCCACGTCTTGAATACATTCTCGTATAGGCCGACGCTCCGTCGAGTGCTGCTGGCGAAGACAATCTTACTCGAAGGCCAGAGAGCTTCTTGGATTGAAAGTCCAACTCGCGCAGCCGTAGCATCGTGACTGTGATTCCAGTCCCCGTCCAACAGCTTCATGAATTCGAAGTGCTTGCGGGTCCCGATTGTACCACCCGGCCCCCAAACAAGTGTCACGCGAGGCACGTAGAACGAGAAAGCGACGACGCGGCAGTGCAAACTCGTGGAAATCAAAAGCTTTGCTCTGGATATGCAAACACTTATATCCCAAATGTTGAGCCCCTATCCCCATTGGTAGGCCGTTTGCGCGAATTGATATGGGTTTGCCAAAAACAGTGTTGGTCATGGTCACGCTATCTGGGGCCAGCAGGCAGTCCTCGTAGCCTGCCTTTAAAGGACGTTGGCGGAGCGTGCAGTGGTCAAACGCACTCTGATTGAATCTTGCGTTGCCTATACCTCCAATTGTGTTAGCGATGAACAAGCCATATTTGGCAAACTTTTTCTTAGGCAGCAAGGAGGAAGTACTAAGGCCTTTGTGCATAAAGTCGTCCTCATTGCAAGCTTTGAAGCCAGGTCCGAACATGACCAGCGCACCCTTGAGCGATAAGCCATTGAGAGTCTAACCTCCACCAAAAAAAACACATCAAGAGAGCCATTGTACATGTTGGAGAACAAAGAGCCGACGCCGATGACAAGATGACCACCATACGCCCGCATGTCTGCGCCTGCAACGTCAGCATGCAAGAAATCGTCGGGACAGAATCCGTAGCGACTGTGCAGCATCGTTTCAACGATCCACGGCATCAACATATCACCGAAATTGTGCCGACCCATAGCGCCATACAAAAGCACCTTGCGACCATGCGGAATCACTTCAGTGCACCCTGAGCTAGTCGACTGGTTCCCGCCATGCGATGTACTCTCACTGGAGCCTGTGCACCGAGCACCTGGGACTCCTTCGCCCTGCATCGACGACGGCAGACGCGCAATGGTCCGTGAGTCCATGATACTGACTGCGAATAAATACGAGCGAATGGAACCATCACGCGACAAGCATGCGAACGAAACAAAAACAACAATGAAAAGCAACAACCATGGAACAACGGAGAACAAACTGCGTTCCACAATTTGTCTAATGTTCCGATCGGTTCGTCTGCACAGGTCTGGGGTGTTCGGCAATCGAGCAACGATAGCCTCTTGGCCCGAAATGGCCACTTGAGCCAACGTGGCTTGAGCCAAAATGGCTACGGAAGAATGTGAAGCAAGCTCTTGGGATCTCCACCACAATATTGACTGCTCACACAGATTTCATAGTTATGAAATGAATACTCCTGGTTGGAGAGAACAGTGTCGTTGAGGGCACGATAGTCCCTACTCAGCTTGGGAGCAGGAGTCACTTCTGTGTGGGCACACCCTGCTGCTTGTGTCTGCGATCGCTTCCCTCACAGCCGTCTGGAACAATGTTTCAAAAAGTGATCGTTCCTTCATGCTGACGTCCAGGAACAACTTGCACTAGTGGTTTCGGGAGCGGTCAAGAGGGGGGTGTCCAAGAGGGGGGGGTGCAAATCATGACCGGCGGCATGTGCGCGGCCCAGCGGGGAGGCCAGGGACGTGATGAAATAAGAGGAGGCGCCATGAAATCTGGGGAAATACCATGGCCCCCGCCATGATATCCACCCCCCCCTAGTCATCACCCCCCTCTTTTCCGCCCCCAATGGTTAGAAGAAAACGCATGCAGATAAGCCTTCGACGGCCCGCGCGGATTTTTTGTTGGACATGCGCCGGAACCCCCCTCCCTGGCGCGCTCGGAGCGCGGCCAGGGCGGGGCCGGAGGCGCCGCCTGTGGGGTTTCAGCGCCGATCCAAGAGCTCCGAGCTCCAGGAATGGGCGTCTACGCCGTTGTTCCTGGGAGTGGTAGAAGTTGACGCTTCGAAACTACGGGCAAACTGCACTGAGCAACGCCCTCCTCTGGACGCTGTTCCAACAGATCGCTCGGCACCCGCCTCACTGTGCCAGATGTGTCCTTTGCTTGTACATCTTGCATCGCTGGTGCGGGGATCGTTCAACGAAGACTCCCCTTCTGCCACGGCCGTCGATTCGAATCACATAAACATATGATGTGCGGCGCTCGTTTATCTCACTACTTGATGGTCGCATTCTATCATTACAATGAAAGCGAAGGACATACAGCATCGAATTTCGCATCGACGCATTGACGTTGCAGGGCATCCCACTCCTCTGTCACGACACTAGCTTCGGGTGCGTGCTTGGATGCTTTACGAGCAGACCGCTCCGTCCTGACACATGGCACGGCGCACCGGGGAAGTCCGTGCCACGCACTGTGACGCCTGATCCTCGACACCGGGCACTCGCAATCATGTTCAGATGTAGAAGAAGAAAAAACGCCTCAAACATAAACTTTTGGCACTCCGCGCGATTTTCTTGGAGCTGCGCTGTACCCCCTTCCCTGGCGCGCGGAGCGCGCCAGGGGCGGCGCCGGAGGCGCCGCTGGGGGGGCCCAGCGCGGATCCAAGAACTCCGCGCGGAGCGCCGAAAGTTTATTTTTATGTGGTTGTTCCTTCTCCGATACGTTTAACCTCTTGTAGGTTGGCGCACAGCGCGCCTGGGGCGGCGCCAGAGGCGCTGCCAAGGGGGTCCAGCGCCGATCCAAGAGACCCGCGCGAACCTCTGAGAGCTCGTGTGTGCGCGCACGTCTGCTCCTTCTGGATGCAGCCTTGGAGACAGCGGGGCGGTCCTTCAGCTTCTCGCCGAGGGACTTCTGAGGGCCCCCCTCCTCCTTCGGCTTCTCGGCCGCGGACTGCGCCAGAGGGTAGAGATGAGAGATCAGGGGAACCCCCGACGCCCTCCACCTCGACGGGAGAGCAGGGTTAGGTGGGGCATGTCCCCCCACAGGCGGACTTTGGACGAAAAATTTAAAAACAAAAAAAAACAACAACAACAAAAAAAAACGGAATGATCAAAAATAGTAGAAACATCGTCCCCATACTATTTTTGACTATTCTTGAATATTCCCCCTGTAGAGGGACAGGCCCGACGTAAGAGCAGGGGGAGAGGGCTGCAGGAGCGGGGGGGTGGGGGAAGGGGAGACAAGAGGGGGGAAGACCGGGCAAACCGCAGGGAAGACGTCCACCTCGACTCGCGCCAGAGCGTCCACAATGTTCTCCAGATGTCCCGGGAGAGCTCTGGACCTCCTTCGGTGCATGAGGACATTCCCCGGTTCACGCGGATCTGCCCCTACTTCTCTGGCCTGATTCCAGCAAGTCTTAGGACGGGCATGTCCCCCAACAGGGGGATTCTGGACGAGCAATCGACGTGCCCAAAGAACAGCCCCACATACACAAAAAACGGATGCTCCGAACGTGGTCCCCTGACTACTCTTTGACCACGTATGTTTGGATGTCTTCTTCCTGCAAAGGGGGGGCGATCTTGGGGGCCTCTTGGGCCGTCCTCGGCCGGCGGAACGCCGAAAAGGCGCAAATATGAAAAACCTTCAAATACCTTTTCGGAAAACCACTGATCTTAGCCTCTTCGGGCCCTCGTGGAGCACCTCTCGGAAGCCTCTTCGGCCGTCCTGGAGGCCTCTTGGGGGCCCCCTGGGTCGTTGTGGGCCATCTTGATGCCACCTTAGGCCGTTTTGAGTGCATCTTGGCTCGTCTTGGAGGCATCTGGGAGCCTCGGGGATCTCCTGACCCGGGTCAATCCAGACCCGGGTCAGCCAGGCCTTGCAAAATCCTGCAAAATCATGCAAGACCCTGCACCCAAACCCGGGTCAATGCGAAGGATCCTGCAAGATCATGCAGGATCCTGCACCCAAACCCGGGTCAATGCGACCCTGGCCCTGCAGGATCCTGCAAGATCGGGCGCTCTGGCTGACCCCCGTTTGCATGGACCCCCGTCTCAAGGCTCCCGAGAGCCATCTGAAGCACGCCGACCGGCGAAGCATCCCCGGGCCGCGGCGCGAGAGAGGGGGAGGGAGCGAGGGGAGAGCGTCCGAGAGGGGAGGCCCGCCGTGGGAGGGCGCCCCCAGAGGGCCTCGGCCGCGGAGGGCGGGGGAGGGAGGGGCCGGACGAGAGAGGGGGGAGGGGGAAAGCAAGGAGGAGGAGGAGGAGGAGGAGGAGGAGGAGGAGGAGGGGAGGAGGAGGAGGAGGAGGAGGAGGCGGAGAGGGAGGAGGAGGAGGGGAGGAGGAGGAGGAGGAGGAGGAGGGAGGAGGAGGAGGAGGAGGAGGAGGAGGAGGAGGGAGGGGAGGAGGAGGGGAGGGGCAAGCTAGGTGCGCTCGCGTCATATCTGACGTCCTGCCCCTCCCTCCCATCCCTTGCCATGGCGCTGATTTTCTCTATATCCGCGGACGCGTGTCGTAGCGGACTTGTGGCTCCGCGCGCGCGTGCGTAGCGGGTGGTGGTGCGCGTGCGTGCGTGCGTGCGTGCGTGCGTGTGTGGTTGTGGTGGTGGTGGTGGTGGTGGTGGTGGTGGTGGTGGTGGTGGTGGTGGTGGTGGTGGTGGTGGTGGCGGTGGTGGTGGTGGTGGTGGTGGTGGGGGGGGTGGTGGTGGTGGTGGTGGTGGTGGTGGTGGTGGTGGTGGTGGTGGTGGTGGTGATGGTGGTGCTGGTGGTGGTGGTGGTGCTGGTGGTGGTTGTGGTGGTGGTGGTGGTGCGGCGCGGTGGTGGCGGGCGGATGGGCGCGCGAGAAAGAGGCCCGCGCTGGGGCGAGAACGCCATCCTGAACGACGGAGGCCAAACACCGATTCAAAAATGAGGCCCACGCTGCAGCGGGAGCACGATTCGGAACGATTCGGGAGCAGAAATGAGGCCGGCGCCTCAGCGAGAGCAGCATTTTGAAAAAAAAAACAAGCGAAAACCCGTTTCCCGGGAATCCTGTGTAAAAAACAATTCGGGACGCCATCAGGGGAAGTGGGAGAGTATTTTCATATTGTGTAATTGTGGAGAGGGAGAGGGGAGAGGGGGGGAGGGGGAGAGCAAGGGCAGGGCGGAACCCAAACGGTGTTTTGCGTTCGGGGGCCACGTGCGAACCCTACCCCCTACCCCCCACGATTCCTGAGGGGGAGGGCGGGGTCCGCTTCGTTCGGGAGCTCCCGAGCGAAGTGATCCCCACCCTCCCCCTCAGAAATCGACGGGGGTAGGGGTAGGGTTCGCATGTGGCTCCCTACTGAACCTAAACGGTGTTTTTCGTTTTGCTGTTGTTTTCTTTTTCCATCGCTTTCTTTCCCGAGCCAGCCCCTCTACCGCAGAGCGAAGTCGAAGCGAAAACGGCCCACGGAATCACCAAAGACACCGTTGAGGTTCAGCCCTCGAGGGGGGAAGACGAGCGAGAATGAAGGGGGGGGGAGGGGGAAGCAAGGGCTCCCAACTTCGCGCCTCGCGCGGCGCGGAGCGCAAGCTGCGAAAAAAAACATCTCGCGCCCGCGCGCCGCCTCCCAGGGGCGAGAGGAGGAGGAGGAGGAGGAGGAGGGATCGGAGCCGAGACGCGAAGGGCGACTAACTTGGCGCCCTCGAGGGCGCTCCTGGGAAAACAAGGGGGAAGAAGGACCGAGGATGAAGGGGGGGGTGAGGGGGGAGAGGTGGGGGTGGGGAGCAGCTCAAGGAGGGGGACATCGACCTGGACTCGGCGATGCACCGCCGATGCCTGGGGGTGGGCAGATGCCTCTGTAGCAAGACGCCCTTTAATGGAAGCCGCCAGGGGTACTCCACGTGCGCACGGCACCGCATTCCGAGGACACCATGGCGGGGTAGCTAATAGATGCCCCCAAAAAACACGAATGTATTTAGCAAAACGCACGCGAGACCGAGTTTGGACTGCACCAGTACACTCGAATGCCGATGTCGAACGAACCGCTTTGCAAGTCTCCGCAATCGATTTGTCTGGCCGGGCGTCCCCTCAATGCCCGAAGCAGAAATGGCGACGGGCCCCCCACAGGAAGGCCGCACGGTCCCGAGCGGTTGGCCCTGTCCCCCACCCAACGACGCGTTGCCCCCGAAAGGGGGGGGGGAAGGGGGGGGATGGGGAGGGGAGGGAGGAGCGGAAAACCTGCAGAAACCGACGAGGCAGCCCGCGGAGGCCAGGGGGCGCGCAGCCTCCCCGCCGATACCCGAGAAGGAAACAGGAACAACCCCCTATGAATTTGTTGTCGGTGGCGGCGGTGCCTGGTGTCCCTCGCCGAAACATCTGGGCGTCGCAGCCTTTTCTCGCCCAGCGCGTCCGCCCGACTTCGGGCCCATTTCATCCCGAGAATATGCCGCAGGAGGATGCGTCATCATCCGCCTGAAGTTGTCGTTCCTCCTCTTCATCCTCCTCTTCCTTATACTCATCCCCCTGTTCCACATCCTCTTCCTCCTCCACCGAATTCTCCCCCGCAGCATCATCATCAGCCTCAAAAACCTCATCATCACCGTGATCAGCATGATCATCATCAAATCAAACGATTCCTGCTCAACACCGCAATCCTCAGAGCCCTCACCATCATCATCGTCACCACAATCATCACCAGCAGCAGCAACATCATCATCATCTGCATCATCATCAGCAGCATCATCATCATCAGCATAATCAGCATCATCATTATAATCAGCCTTGTCTGCAACATCAGGACCAAGAATTTCAACGGAAACAACAACGACCAACAGCAACAAGCAATTACGCTACCGAGGAACCCCACATACCTATTTTATTTCCCATGTGTACCATCGGTGCTTCTGCTGCTGCTCCTCCTCCTCCTCGGTGTCCTCCTCCTCCTGCTGCTGCTTTCTGCTGCTGCTGCCGCGTCTGCTGCTGCAGCTGCTGCTGCTGCTGCCCCTGCTGCTGCCCCACCTCCCCGTCCTCCTCCTCAAAGGGCCCTCACCCCCAGCGCACCCCCTGTGGCGTCGAGGAAATGCCACGCCCGCCACGCCCTGGGAGCCTGCAACGCATAGGGCCCTCACCCCCAGCGCACCCCCTGTGGCGTCGAGGAAATGCCGCGCCTGCCACGCCCTGCGAGCCTGTAGCGCATAGGGCCCCCGCCCCCAGCGCACCCCCTGTGGCGTCGAAGAAATGCCACGCCTGCCACGCCCTGGGAGCCTGCAGCGCATAGGGCCCCCACCCCCAGCGCACCCCACGCAGCGCGTAGGGCCCCCACCCCCAGCGCACCCCCTGCGGCGCCCAGGAAATGCCAGTCCTGCCACGCCCTGGGAGCCTACAGCGCATAGGGCCCCCACCCCCAGCGCACCCCCTGTGGCGTTGTGTTGTGCTGTGCTGTGCTGCTGTGCGGTGAGCTGTGCTGTGCCGTGCTGTGCTGTGCTCCTGCTCTGGTGCGAGAAGGAGAAGAGGAGGGAGGAGGTGTGAGACGCGGGTGCGGCGCGGCAGGGAAGAAAACCAGAACCCCACGAAACATGTGGGGAATAACAATAACAACGACAACAACAAAACACTAGCAACGACAACGACAACGGCAACGACAACAACAACGACAACAACGACAAAATGGACAACGTCAACAACCATAAAAGAAGCATGGACGACGACGACAAAAACAACCACAACGACGGCGACAGCAACACGAGCAGCAACAACAAAAGCAGCAGCAGCAACAACAACGGCACCACCGCCACCATCATCATCACCACCATGATCCTCCTCGTCGTTTTTCTCATCGTCATCGGCAGCATCAGCATCCTCATTTTCGGGAACGGCCAAGACGGGAGTGTCCGAGAAGGGGGGGTGCAAATCATGACTGGCGGCATGAGCGCTGCCCAGCGGGGGGGCCAGGGACGTGATGAAATAAGAAGAGGCGCCATGAAATCTGGGGAAATATCATGGCCCCCGCCATGATATCCCCCACCCCCTCGTCATCAGCCCCCCTCTTTGCCGCCCCCGATATTTGGCCACTGGCATGCCAGCACCATGCCTCAGCGCAGGGGAAGGCACCGCCGCGCGCAACGCCGCCGCCTCGAGCCGCCCTCTTCCCGCGGGACGGCCCGCCGCTCGCGCCAGGGCGGCCCGGCCCGGAGGGCACGCAGAGGGCCCCGGCGTGCTCTGCACCGATCTCGCGAGGGACGACGGCTGGAGTTCTTCGGGGATGGACCGACCCCCCTTTAGCAAAACGTGGTTTAGTGAAAACGGCCTGAGGCCCAAACCTGGCGGGCGCAAGCCTGGAAAATAGCGGCCACGGCGCCCTCTCGAGAACCGAAAACGGACAATTCACGAATCGACGTGTCACTGTTGGGGGTTCTGTCCACCCCCCAATTATGTTGTTCCCGTCCTACTTCATGGCTACATCGCAAAAATAATTCCGAGCACCCCGATAAGTGTCAAAAGAGTTTCGAAAAACAGTGTCGAAGCCGTGTCGGACGAGTGTCTCCCAGAGCCCGACGCGTGAAAATCCTTGAGTTTCGGTACTCTTTCGGGCGCTCGAACTTATTCCTGCTGATCAGGGCTAAAACAGGTTGGAGCATCAGAAGGCTGGAGGCGCCGGCGCAGAGCGGGCAGGGCCCTGGCTCGCCCCAAAGGACCCGGGAGGAAGAGGTCGGACCCCGGGGCCGCGACAGGACACGACACGGCGACGGGCGACGGACGACAACGAGCGACAGGGGCTGAACCAGACTGCAAATCCCGCCCAAAGGCGGCACATCGGAAGCGGCCAAGAGGGGGGTGTCCAAGAACGGGGGGTGCAAATCATGACCGGCGGTGTGTGCGCGGCCCAGCGGGGGGGCCAGGGACGTGATGAAATAAGAAGGGGCGCCATGAAATCTGGGGAAATATCATGGCCCCCGCCATGATATCCACCCCCCCCTCGTCATCACCCCCCTCTTTTCCGCCCCCGAGCAGAGGCGGGGAGGGAACTCCCGCACGGCCCGGGGAGGGGGCACGGGGCCTGGCGGCCATCCGGGAAGGAACACCCATCATCAGCATCAGCATCACCATCATCATCATCATCATCAGCATCATCATCATCAGCATCATCATCATCATCATCATCACCATCATCATCATCACCACCATCACCATCACCATCACCATCACCATCATCATCACCATCATCATCACCATCATCATCAGCATCATCATCATCATCATCAGCATCATCATCATCATCATCATCAGCATCACCATCACCATCACCATCACCATCATCATCATCATCATCATCATCATCATCATCATCATAATCATCATCATCGTCGTCATCATCATCATCAGCAGCAGCAGCATCATCATCATCAGCACCAGCATCATCATCATCATCCTCATCATCATCACCATCACCATCATCATCATCATCATCATCATCATCAGCAGCATCATCAGCATCATCATCGGCGTTCAAGAGCAAGGCCAAGCAAGCAATCACATGAGCACGAGTTTCTCCAAAGGGTATTGCATACCAGACCGAGCTAGATCAGAACTTGAAATTCAGGAGGCCTCTGAAACACAGTACCCAATATGTAACATTCCAGTGGATTCGACCGAACAGCTCCGTTGGCATTTATAGCTCGAGCATATCCCTTCTCTACTACCCGAACACCAGATTTCTTGCTTCAGAGATGAGTTTCCATCCAAGAGGGATGAAGTGAAGCGGCTTCCTTCAAGGAAAAAAATCAGGAGCGGCGACTGTCAGCGAGGAAGGCGCCCCGCCCAGCAGGAAGCTGAACACAGAGAACGAAGCCTCCGACCAGAAGCTCTTGAGGCAGCTCGAGAGTCGAATCCGCACGCTGAAGTTCGAGAGTCAGGTCAGTACGATACGGAGGTCAAGGAGAAGAGAGGGGGCCCCAACCTAGGGAGCCCACATCTTCATCTGTTTGGGAGTCGTCTGAGCGATTTCGAGACCTTCTTCGCTCAGGGCGTATCCCCCGACCTCCAGGGCCTCCAATGCCCAGCAGAGCGGCTCAAGTTGCACATAGACACCTGCAAGGACCTGATTCTGATAGAGGAGTGGTGCAAGGTCTGTGGATTCAGCAAGGCCTACGACGGCAACAAGACCAGAGTGACGATAGACCTGCGAGGCAAGGTCGTGGTCGCAAAGGGAAAAGACACAGCCGAGGCCTTGTACAAAAAGGCGAAGGAAGAGGCAGGGCTCAACGAAATACACTCGCATCCCCTCGAGGTCGCGTTCCCACTCCCAGAGAACTGCCTGCTGCTGGAGCTGAACCACGCGTTCTCAGTGATCTTCAGGGGCATGGGAGCAGAAGGCAAGCAGGGACGCGCCCCCAAGGGCAACCTTGTCCGCAAGATGGGCAATGAATAGCTGCCCGTGTGAGTCCTCCCGTGGGGTTTGCCGCGGAGGACGGTCACCCTTCAGACGAATTCGAGGCAGATGAGGAGGCAGCTGTTTTTTGTGGATGTTAGTGCTGAGATGGTTCGAGGTGTCGGTTCTTGGAGGTTAGCGCTGAGCTTGTTTCTTGATGTCTCCTCAGGGGTCAGAGATCTCTGGAGGCCGAAGTGTGACGCACGCAAGCAAGGCGTGGCCCAGTCACCCATAGTTTGTACCCAAACTCGTTGGATGTTGTATGCCGAGTGTGAGAAGAAAACCATCATCAGCACCATCATAGCATCATCATCACAATCGTATCCTCAGCAGCATCACCATCATCATTATCAACAACAAGAGCATCATGTTCACCAGCACAATCATCATCATCAAGATCATCACCATCATCCACAGCATCGTCCTCCTCAGCATCAGCATCATCGTCAACATAAGCATCAGCAAAGTCATCATCATCATCATCATCATCATCAGACTCATCATCATAATCATCCGCGTCAGCTTAATCCTCAACACCACCACCATCACTATCACCATCGTCGTAATCAACATCAGCACTGTCATCATCACTATCAGCAGCAGCATTGCCATCGTCATCATTAGCAGCAGCACCATTGGCATCAACAACAACAGTAACTAATAGCAGCAGCAACAACAACACTTGTCATAATAGTACAGTAAAACTAACAACGCCAACGACAACGGCAACCACGTCGACGACACCCACACCAACAATCATGGTAACACTGTTCGCTGTTAATTGTTCGCATGCCATTCAACACGTGTACCACAAGCCCTCGATGCCCGCCCTCATCGACTTCGATCCTACCCCTTGGGGAGTAAAAAACCTTGCTTACCTGCAACGCACACTTCGTGCAGCCCCTAAGACAGGGGAAGAGAGGACGGATGGGAAGGAAGGGGGCCAGGGGGAAGGAGGAGAATGGAGCACGAGAGTGTAGCAGGAAGGAGGCTCGAAGCAGAACACACGTAGCAGAACCAAGCGGGCAGATCGGGCGGGTAGACCCTAACGGGCGGGTCGAAGGCGGGCCCAGGGGCGGCCAGGTCGAGCAGGCGGATTGTTGAAGCGTGCCTACTGCATGAATCGCGAGGAGAGCTCGAACGATAGCGCGATTCCCAAGTAAATCGTCAGGAAATCCACTGCGAGAGCGTGATTCATGAGTGTCGAGGGCGCGGCGTCTGAATACATTTCGAAGAGGTCCCACGCGAGAGCGCGATTCCTGCATACATTGTGAGGAAGTCCCGCGCGAGAGCGCGAGTTGGGAATAAATTGTGAGGAAGTATCAGGCGGGAGCCGCTGTTGTTGTAAACCAGGGCCAGGGGCCCAGTTTGGTGACACCGCACGTTCCCTTGTAAAAAAACAGGGTGCGAAGCACTTAAATTCACAAAAGCAATGGTTACCGGGCATGGGGAAATGAGAATTCAACGACAACCGCGCCACCATCATCATCGTTATCGTCATCGTCATCGTCATCGTCATCGTCATCGCCATCATCATCATCATCATCATCATCATCATCATCATCATCATCAGCATCAGCATCAGCATCAGCATCAGCATCAGCATCATCACCATCATCATCATCATCATCATCATCATCATCATCATCATCATCATCATCGTCATCGTCATCGTCATCATCATCATCATCAGCATCAGCATCATCATCATCATCGTCAGCAGCAGCAGCAGTAGCATCAACATCATCATCATCATCACCATCATCATTATCATCATCAGCATCATCATCAGGATCGGCATCCTAATCATAGCCAGTAGCAGCATATGATGATTAGTGTGTATGATCAGGATCATCATCATTATAATCGTCAGCACGATCACCAAAATCGGCATCATCGTCGGCATCAGCATCAACATCATCCGCATCATCGTCATCCTCATCAGCATCACCATCATCCTCGCCAGCACCTCATGTTACTCCTCCCGATCCTCCTCCTGCTCCTCTTCCTCATCCTCCGCCTTCCACGCCGCACATGACCACCCGTCTCTCTGAAGCAGGTGCCGAACCGAGGCGACGAGAGGCGGTGGATCCGCCTCATCGCCCTCCTTGGGCTTCTCGTCCGCGACCGACCTCTTGAAGGTGAGCAGGTCCCCGAACTTCTGGCCCACGGAGCGCCAGCCCGCGTCCTGACGCGCGCCAGCACGGTACCCCGCGCACCGCATCGTGCTCTTGGATGCCCTCCAGACCCCGCTCCGACATGGCATGACGCACATGTTGCCGATGTGCCGCACCGTTCCTGGGTCGAACATCGGCGCCGCCTCGGGATGCGCCAACGTGCCAACCTGGCAACACTCGGGGAGACATGAGACTCTGGTGCGGGGGACTCGGATCAGCCTGACGGGGCCACCACAAAAATGACGGGACCCAATCTAAAATTTGCCGCGGGCTCCCGCTGCAGACATCCCACGAAAACTGGACCGTCAAGATCCAAGACGCGCTCGTCAAAAAGCGTCGGCAAACCCGAGTTCTGGCTTACTCGAGTCTTACGTTTCCTCGAAACATCCATATCATCCTGGGCTTGGCTCAATGGGGGGGTCGTAAATGAGGGGGTCAGAAACGGTCCTCTTTCGTGCCACTTTCGGGCCCCTCTGGAGCCCCAGGGGGCTGGTGTAGGTACCGTTTGGGTGCCTTTTCGGACCACCCTCGCCACCCCCCCATTTATGACCCCCCCCCATTTCGCAACGCCCAGAAATCGCTCGCGGAAGGCACGCCGGGGGAACGAGTTGGACGTCCGCAGTGCATCGGCTGGTGGACGGGCGCGCGCGTGCCAGTCTTCGGGGGGGGGGGGGGCCTCAGGCGGGAAGCTCCACAGAGGTCTGCTCGCAGGGCCAGATCTCATTCGGGGGGGGCCTTAGGCGGGAAGCTCCACAGGGGTCTGCTCGCCAGGCCAGATCTCAAGAGTCGTTTCTCAGGGCTTCGTCTTGCCAGTCCTCAAATTGGTGGCGCGAACAAGGGGGTGGAGGGAGGGGGGGGGCTTCTTAGAAGGAAGCTGCTTCTGAGAAGGCGCCAGCCTCGCATCTAGATAAAAGGCCCGCGCCTTCTGAGAACCAGGGGTGCTTCTAAGAAGCCCTCCCCCCTCCCCCCACCCCCCTCTGCGCGTGGCTGAGGAAGATGGGCTTAACAATAAACCGGCATCGCGCTTTTTAACGAGTCGCGCTGACGCCCATTACTAGACGAGCGCGTTCCACTGCTCGCAAAGAGGCTACTCGCAAATGGCCTGGATCCCCCGCGGGGGATCTACGATAAACTACATCAAAGCAGACAAGTGTTTTTCGGACGTTTGCAAGTAGGCACTTTGCGAGTAATGGAACGCGCTCGATGAATTACTGGCGAGGTCCGCCCCCGCTCATAACGTCGCGATCCGTGCCGGCGCCGTCCGGGCATGGCCAGGGGGTGTGCATGACTGCACGGCGCCGGCGCGGATCGTGACGTTACCGGCCCCCTCCCGCCCTGCGGATCGTGACGTTGCCGGATCGTGACGCTACCGGATCGTGACGTTATCGGATCGTGACCGTTACAGGCATGGGGCGCTGTCGCGAGAAGGTAAAATAACATACCTCCAGTTGCCGCGCGAGGAGGCATCGCCGAATCCTGAGGCAGCCCGGGTGCGAGGTCCTGGTCGCCATCGACGGGCAGCGCCACGAGCGAGGCGCGCCGAGAGAAGGGGCGCGCTCCCCCAACAAAAGGGCTCCCGCGAGTCTCGCCGCCGAAGGCGTGCCCCAAAGGTCCTGAAGAGTTCGCCCGTGGCCTCCTCCGCCTGCACACCGGGAGGCGGATTCCTGGAGATTCCTGGCCGCCAGAATCCACGTGGCTGTACCCTGGATGGGGACTCGAGGGATACGCGAGGAAGGGGGAGGGGAAGGGACGAGGAAGGAGGAGAGGGAAGGATGCGAACTCGCCATGACTGGCCCTCCCAAAAGCACGTCTCCAGAGAGGATGTGGGGAAAGGGATCTGAGCGGCTGGTTGAAGGGATGGGGACGGGACCAAGGTGGCCAGCCGAAGGGACCAAAAGCGGGCCCAAGGCCGCCGGAACGGCCCCATTGGTCCCCGCATTGCGCCGAGACGCCACAAGAGCGAGCTCAGAGGTCCCCTGAACGCCCCAAAACGACCTAAGAGGGCCCCAAAACACCCCAAGAGGAAGCAGTACACAACGGCAGATACGTTGGATGGACTAGACGAAGTTTGAAGGAGTGAACTGGGAAAACGTCAACAAAGTCGAACCCGTAGCGGCCGTGTCTTGCACTGGATAAAAGACAAGGGAGGCCCTAGAATAGCCCGCGATCATACTCGCGGGAAGTTACGGGCCAAACATCCAGAAGAATCTGCACAATCATTCCATTCACATGGATAACGGCTGTCTTGGCACCTTCTTGAGATTGGCGGGATGCTGGTACCACAGGTCCAGACAACATAACAATTCGATGGTTACTCAAACACGCAAAAGTTGTCAAGAACGAGCGGCAATGGCAATACCATTCGTAAGCTCTAGGAGCAAGCGCGACCATGTCGAAGTGGGATGACGAGGGAGGGAGGATAGAGAGGGAAAGAGAGAGAGAGAGAGAAAGAGAGAGAGAGATAGACAAGCAGGGACCAGGGTGTCCAGCCGAGTCCCCAGATCTACGTGGGCGTCAAAGACGCCCGACGAAATCTCGTGGACGTCACCAAGACAGCATACAGTAGCAATATACATTTCGACAACACTCCCCGAAGTATGATACCTTGGATGGGCCCATGAAATTGTAGCAGTAGTAGTAGTAGTAGTAGTAGTAGTCGTAGTCGTAGTAGTAGTAGTAGTAGTAGTAGTAGTAGTAGTAGTAGTAGTAGTAGTAGTAGTAGTAGTAGTAGTAGTAGTAGTAGTAGTAGTAGTAGTAGTAGTAGTAGTAGTAGTAGTAGTAGTAGTAGTAGTAGTAGTAGTAGTAGTAGTAGTAGTAGTAGTAGTAGTAGTAGTAGTAGTAGTAGTAGTAGTAGTAGTAGTAGTAGTAGTAGTAGTAGTAGTAGTAGTAGTAGTAGTAGTAGTAGTAGTAGTAGTAGTAGTAGTAGTAGTAGTAGTAGTCGTAGTAGTAGTAGTAGTAGGTAGTAGTAGTAGGTAGTAGTAGTAGTAGTAGTAGTAGTAGTAGTAGTAGCACAAGTACAAGTAGTAGTAGTAGTAGTAGTACAAGTAGTAGTAGTAGTAGTAGTAGTAGTAGTAGTAGTAGTAGTAGTAGTAGTACACCGGACTCACTTCTATACTTTGAAATTGTGGTCCGGAAGGGGCCGCACATGCAGGCACATGCCGCACAGTCGCATGCACATGCCCATGCAAATATACAAAAGCCTCAACAGCATTGCCGCACATGCGCGCACATGCCACACCGTCCGACGCACAGTCGAATGCACGGTCAAGCAAAACTCTGAAAGCATAGACGCACATGCCCGCACATGCCGCAGAGATGTCGCAGGCGATAGTGGCCTGACCACCTGAGCTCGGGGCATTTCGCAACCCAGAGTTCCGAGGATGTCTCAGGCAAGCGTGGCCGGATCACCATGGGGCAGGGCATCTTGGAAACCAGAGTGGCGAGGATGTCGCTGGTCAAGGTGACCAGACGACCATGGGGCAGGACACCTCCGAGGTCTGAGTTGTGAGGATGTCTCAAGCGAAAGTGGCCTGACCACCATGGGGCAGGAGATCTCTGAGGTCAGAGTTGCGAGGATGTCTCTGGGGAGAGTGGTCTGACCACCTCAGCCCAGGGCATCTCGGAGCCCAGAGTTGCGAGGATGTCTCAGGCAGGACTGGCCTGACCACCTGCTCAGGGCATCTCAGAACCCAGAGTTGCGAGGGTCTCAGGCGAAAAAGGCCGAGACACTATGGAGCAGGGCATCATTGAGGTCAGAGTTGCGAGGATGTCTCAGGCAAAAGTGGCCTGAACAGCTCAACTCAGGGCATCTCGGGCGAGGATGTCTAAAGCGAAAGTGGTCTAACCACCTCAACTCAGGGCGTCTCGGAACCCAGAGTTCCGAGGATGTCTCAGGCGAAAGGGGCCGAGACACTATCGAGCAGGGCATCATTGAGATCAGGGTTGCGAGGATGTCTCAGGCGACAGTGGCTGATCACCTCAGCTCGGGGCATATCGGAATCGAGACTTGCGAGGATGTCTCAGGCGACCGTGGCCTGACCAGCATGGGGCAGGAGATCTCTGAGGTCAGAGTTGCGAGGATGTCTCATGCGAAAGTGGTCTAACCACCTCAGCTCAGGGCGTCTCGAAACCCAGAATCCCGAGGATGTCTCAAGCGAAAGTGGCCGGGCCACCATGGGGCAGGGCATCTCCGAGACCAGAGTTGCGAGGATGTCTCAGGCGAAGGTGGCCAGATCACTTCATGTCAAAGCACGTCGGCCTCCAAATTGCCGACGACGTCTCACGCGGAACTGGCCGGACGCGAACGCGCCGGCGTCCGGAGACGAACGCCGGCCCCGGCATTCTTGCACGTCCCGCACATGCACTGCACAGGTACGCACAGTATTCGCACAGGCCGAGCTCGCCGGTGGCCGAGCCAGGCCAGCGATTCCGAGATTCCCTGAGCTCGGGCCGTCAAGCCACTTTCGCCTGAGACAGCCTCGCAACTCTCACCTCGCCCTCCTCCTCCTCCTCTTCCTCCTCCTCCTCCTCCTCCTCCTCCTTCTCCTCTGGCCGAGCCGAACAGGCAGGCTGGCCAGTGGCCGGGGGCGCCCGCCTCCTCCGCCCCCCCCTCCTCCCCCCCCCTCCACCTCCCCCCCCCCATCCCTGCTTCTCCGGCCGAGCTGAGAAGGCGCGCGGGAGAGTATTTTATTAGGCGGGCGCGCCACCGCCAGCTCACGAACCGGGCGAATAACCGCCCCCGCCAGCAGCGGGCGAGTCTAAACGCACAACAAACTGTTTCAGGAAACCCTGGCACGCCCCAGGTTAGCTCTGCGAAGGCCAGGAGGCGTTGGAGGCACAGGGGTCCCAGACAGCTCCTAGGGCATGAGCGTGCATGTGCATTGGGATGTGCACGCATGTGCGCCCGCGCGCTTCACCGCATGTGCGTGCATGTGCGGGCCCGCGCGGCCTCCCGAAGAGAGGTTGCACAGGCATGTGCGTGCATGTGCCGATGACAGATCTGCGATTCTCG